CTAAAGGGAGGGCACTGCCATGGTATGTGTGTGTGTGGGGCAGGGCTGGGGCAAGGTCAGTCCCTCTGGGGCCTGGGAAATTGGAGCTGCCTCTGAGACGGCCAAGTGGGGATGCCAAGTAGGAATTGGATGCGCATGCTTGAGGCTCAGAAGACAGGTCAGGCCCAGGTAACCATTTAAGTGTCATCAGCATGTGCAAGGCACTAGAAGGAATGGTCAGATGCAGGAATGTCGGCAGAGGAAGAGGGTCTGGGACTGAGGGACTCTGACTGAGAAAGGAGCTGAGAAGGAGCTGCCTGTTTACCCTTAGAATATGAGCCACAGACATTTTGTATTGATCATGTGTTATCTTGTATCTTTTTTCTGTTCAACTACATTATTAATTAGATGGGTACTGGGATCACATTTAGTATAATAATAATAATAATTATTGATATTGATAATAGTGTCTCAATTCTTTGAACATTTTCAGACATGCTGTGTGTATTACATTCATAACCTTTCATCGCTATTTAAAATTTTAAAAAAATTAAATTTATTGGGGTAACACTGGTTAATCATATAAGTTTCAGGTGTAAAACTTCATAATTCATCATGAATATTGCACTGTGTGCTCACTACCCAAAGTCTAATCTTCTTTGGTCATCATATATTTGATCCCCTTTATCCTCTTTGTCCTCCCCCAGCCCTCTCAGCTCTATTTTCTTACATACTCCTTGGGAAGGTGTATATTATCTCCATTTATGGTAGGGAAACTGAGGTACAGAGCAGGTAAGTGCTCATTCCAGGTTACCCAGCATTTGGGTAACTCCAGATGTGATTTGGACACACACACACACACACACACACACACACACCTGTACTTAACTTTGACGTGTTTCCATGACATTACTTTGCCAGAACTTATGGACAGGGATCACTGGAGGCATCTAAGCAGCAGTTTCCAGGGCACGTGGTATGTGCTTAGTGGTATTGGCTTTGTGACAATCCATCCACATCTCTCAGCTGGCTCCTCATGATCTGGCAGCCTCATTTTTAGTACGCCTGGCTGGGTACAGAGTAGCATGGCTGGCCCATAGCTGTGGCCCTGTTTCCTCAGAGCTCAGCTAACTGTCCATACTCACTGGTACATGTGCAGACCAGCAAGCTTACCTGTCATTTGTGAGGTATGGACACACAGCTGGGGTTCTCTTCACAGTCTTATCAGTAGCCAGTAGAGACCTCTGACAAGGGCTGACCACAGCCAGCTCTTGGATTTTGTGATATGGCTGCAGCTCCAGGGTGTCTGCACGAGTTCACCAGTGGTTCAGCTGGAGGCAGATCTGCAGTGTCCTGACAGTTTCTCCAAAAAGTGTGGCCTGCAGGATGCGAAGGGGATCGGAGCAGCTTGTCCTCTGTCTTGCTCTTCTCAGTCTTCTTTTTCCCCACCTCTGACCTTTTTTTGACTCTTCCTCTAAAATGGCTCCTGGTTCATGTGTATTTGTCTGTCTGTCCATTTCTCCATTCAGGCTATGCACTAGGGATGTTCCTGAGAACAAACAGTTGACTCCACGGCCGTTACACTCAGTCATCTGTTGCTGGGCATTTAGATTTCCTGGGTTCTGTTGTCAGGTTCTGATGCCCTCGATATCCTGCTTTCCAGGAACAATTCCATAGGTTTCTGGCATGGCTCCCATCCTTCGATTAATGAACTTGAGGGAATGCAGGGCTTAGGCATGGTGGTCGTCCTTTTCCTTCTGCGTTCCTACCCTGTGGTGGTCACTGGGGCACGCCCTGGGGGTGAGAAATGATGAAGACACAGCCCCTGCCTCTTTTGGGAAGCCCAGTGTCCAGAGCAGAGGTTGAGGATGTAATTGGATCCTCAACAAAGAACTAGGGGGCCTGAAGAAGTGGGGACAGGCCTCTCCACAGAGAAAGAGGTCCACCAGCCATCTCCATTAGACTGTCCTGAACCAGTCATCCCTCCACCTGACTGTGATCCCATCATAGCAGCCAAACCCTATTTATTTGTTTGTTTTCCTTACTGGGCTATGCAAACTATACAAGTAAAACTACCTTTAGTTCTTTCCTAACACACCCCTTTCACCGTCATTGTTACTGTCCTTCCTGAATCCGGGCCAAGTTTCATTTCCTCACCATCCCCTGCCAAGTGAATCTGTATGCAGACATCTCTGGATGGGGGCCCCCTGCTAGGGACCTCTGCAGCCTTGCTTCTTGGCACTGTAGGTAAACAGTTTGCTGAGCAAGTGCAGTGTTTTCTATATTGCTGAAGACCTCAGTTTTGTAGTTTAAACATTGGGGTGAGGCTAATCTTCTTCCATGGCAGCCCATCTCACACATTCCTTAGCATAGCAAGTGTCACTTTGTGTCCAACATAAATTCTGGGGGAGGCTGCCTTGAGGTTTAGAGGGACCGAATACTTCATGAGCCGCACACTTTGTCAAATACAGAAATCATCAGCACAGGTCCAAAAGGGGATCTGTGTTGGCCCATCAGCTCTGATTGTGTGTGCGTGAGCGAGAGACCGAAGACCGATCTCACTGGCACTGCAAGCCTGAGGAACTCAGCGGGAGGCAGGAAGAGCTTGGCATTTACTCTGAAGCCCACATCTCCCTAGTTGCCAGTCAGCAGAGATGTTGCATGTTGGTTTCATGCATTCACTGCTCTTCCTTCCCTTTGGGAAGTCTGTACTTGCTTCACTTTTTTGTTATTAAAAAAGGGATGGGGTTGGGGGGGGGGGCAGAGTAGGCACCTCTGCCTTTTTCAAATGCTCAGAGATCCTGAAGGGCAGTCTGTACCTTCCAACTCTCCTGAGCATGTTCCCACATGTGCCAACCCACTTTATTCTCAGGATACCTCTGGGGTTAGGCTCTGTTAACCCCCATTTAAAAATATACTTTTATTGATTTCAGAGAGGAAAGGAGTGGGAGAGAAGGATAGAAACATCAATGATGAGAGGGGATCATTGATTGGCTGCCTCTTGCATGCCCCCTACTGGGGATGGAGCCTGAGCATGTGCCTTGACCAGTCGAACCATGACCTCCTGGTTTATAAGTCAATACTCAACCACTGAGCCACACAGGCCGGGCACCATTTTAAAGAGGAGGAATCAGGAGCTCAGAAAAGCATACTTGCCCTCGATCCCACAGCTACAAACTGAGATAAGAGTGAAGAACAGGTCTCTGGACTTGAGTCCCGCTGGTAAATGATCTCTTCTGCTTCAAAGAAATAAAGTTGTTAGAATAAAGCAGCGGCCATGAACCCTCAGGAGCCTGCTGAAGAGAACAAAAGGTGTTAACCATTTCAGTCAGGTGGCTGTGGGCTCCTCATCTGTAGACAGCACTCACGGACCGAGTATCCAACCAGGAGACATGTTTGGTGTCACAGTTGTGACATACACTAGGTTTCCTTGCTGGGAGCACCGCTGTCTGAGTGGGGATAGGGCTCAGAATAGTAATGCCACTGCAGGCCCCTGTAAAGAGCCTCAGGGGTTGCATCCTAGCATATAGACCTGCCAGGAGCCAGGGAGGGTGCAGGCTGGATGGAGCAGGGCCACTGCAGCAAGCGTGTGATAGGGTTTGAAGCCCCTCTGGTCTAAGTCAATGTCCACCCTCCCTTGGGCCACAGCCAGTGGCCTTGGTGTGAACGTCCTGTCTTTCTGACTACTAGATTGTGTGTGTAAGTGCCAGGGGGCAGCACACCTACATCAGTTTCCTCAGGGGCCTTGCCCCGAGCTCAGCACATTGAAGCAGGTATAAAGTAAGTGTTTGATGGGATCCGGGGAGGCCATTTCACACTCACATCCCATGGGGGAGCGTGAATTCTCTATCCAGCCATCCCAGGGTAGCTCCCCCTATTGAGGTGCAAACCTCCCCCCACTTCTCCCAAGCCTGGTGTTAGGTGCTGGGTATATTAAGCCTCCAAGACTTGGTCCTGCCCTCAGGCGCTCTCAGCACTCTCTTGCTGGTGGCAGAAGAGAGAAGTGGGCTCCTCATACCCCAAAGTTTTTAGTCTTCTTGGTTTGCCAACTGGTAGCCCAGGTCAGCAGTGCAGAATTCTGCCTAAGCCCAGAGGATGCTGCCCCAGCGCAGTGTTTCCCCGTAGGATGCAGGCTCCTCTGCACGTTCCCAAGCCCTTAGCCAGAGCCTTCTTCCTGCGGTTTCCCTTTTCAGTCCCATACGTGCACTCTTCATGGGAGAGGATCCAGCCTGCATCATAGAGCACTCCTACATCATCCTTGGCACCGGCAGGACCCCACCTCGGCCACCTCTCCTCAGGCTGGCGAGGGTCCCAGCCGGCGCAGCATCCCACCCGCAACGTGGGGCGGGGGAGGGGCACTCGCGCAGCTGCCGGAGCCTCCGGAGCCTCCAGGGCCCGCGCGCGGGCGCGCGCATGTGCACGCGGAGGGGGCGGGGAGGGCGGCGAGCCCCGTGGAGGCCCCAAGCGCCTTTCCCACAGCGCACGCAGCACCTGTGGTCCCTTCTCTCAGCGTTGTAGCCAGACCCACGTGTGCAAAAGCGTGGTGTGTGTGTGTGTGTGTGTGTGTGTGTGTAGCTGGGAGTCCGTGTGCCCAGGTCTGGCAGGCAGGCCCGTGTGCATCGGGGAGGCAGCCAGGGCGACAGTGGCCGCGCTTCTTTACCCCTCCAGTCCTCGGCCCTTTCCTCCAGTTTTTTTGGGTCATTCCTACCTCCAGTCCTTCCCCACTTCTGCCGCCCCTTTCCTGCGGAACAAGAGCCCAGCGCCTTCCGTGAAGGTTCTGGTTCCCCCCCCCCCCCCCCCCCCCCCCCCCAGCTCCAGAACGCTTGACATTTAATGAGGGTTCAAGGCGCACGGGTGTAGGCACACAGCAGAACGTTAATCCCATTAAAGATATGGTGTCATTGGGGAGGGGGAGGCTCCCCTCCCCCGCCCCTGGCAGACCTCGCTCTCATTGGTTGAATGCAAAACAGGGGGCGGGGCTGAGGGCCAGGCGAGGGGGCTCCGGCGATTTCGGAGTCGGGAGGGAGTCGGGGCTGGGATTTCACTGGGAAAGCCCAGCTGTGGCAGCTGCGGCGGATCCCTCCCGCACTGCTTGCGGCGAGCCCGCCCAGCCCTGGGCTGGCGAGCAGCTCCGCAAAGTCGCGGAGCGAAAGGAGGTGGAGTGCCCACAAAGTGGCCGGGGCTCCGTGCTGGGGCTGGATAGGGCGAGGCGTGTGCCCTGGGAACCCGGATCCCGGAGCCCTGGCGCCTTGTGTGGAGTGGTCAGTGCACTGGGAGGCGAGCTGACGCTCTGGACAGAGAAGTCAAATTGCAGCCTTCCCAAAGACGCCTGCTAAGTTACGCAGGCCAGCCAGTTCCCGGAGAGCATTCGCGAGCGCGCAGAAAGCCGAGCCGCAGAGCTCTCCCGGGCTAGCCGGCTGGGAGGAGGGCAGCGGCCCCTGTGCAACGGGGTCCGGTCCGGAGTGTGCCCCGGTGCAGAGAGGAGGCGTGCAAGGCTCCACCGGGCCTCCTGCAGCCTGCGCCCGCCCGTCTTGGGCGTCCCCTCTGTCCCTCTCCGGGAGCGATGCCCCCCGCCCCTTGTGCCCCACGGGAACGCCTGGAGCATGGAGAAGTCGAGTAGCGAGGATTCTTCGATCCACCGGAGTCCATCTTTGGACAGCAAGGACTCGGACTTTGCCAAGCCGTCCACCTCGGGCCGTCCATTCGGCCGCGGCTTCACTGCCGGCGCCTTCTATGGCACCGCGGGCTCCGGGGGCCAGAGCCGCGCGGAGACCGGAGTCAAGACTGACAAGTACAATGCCCCGAAAGGCAGCAAGTACGTGGTGTTTTACCTGGACCTGTCCTTTGTTTTCCTCCTAGAATTTAAGAAGTGCAACATGGCCAGGGGCTGCCTCTGCTGTTTGAAATACATGATGTTCCTCTTCAATTTGATATTCTGGGTAAGTCCTTGCGCTTATCCCTCCCTTTGCCTTCTCTCATCTTCCATACCCTCTTCCTTTTTGGTGCTGCATTGTTCTGCTCTCCACACAACGGTAAGTGCGTTTTTCCTTAAGATCGTTATTTCCCCTCGTCCATGTATCTTCCTCTTCTTTTCTCTCGCCTTGGCTGAATGGAGGCTTCAAACTTGCCTTTCCTCCAGGAGAGACTGTGCTCCTAGGAGGCTGGCAAAGTTTGCCTCCACCCCCTTCCCCTGTAAGAAACCCGGGCTGAAAGTGCCTCTAACGGGATAAGCTGCAGAAATAAGTGTGGGGTCAGAATTTTTAACAGCTGTGACCCTGCGTTGAAGACCGGCACAAGTGTGAATAGACTTTCTTCTTCTATTCCTCCTGAATATGCAGGAATACCATCTGCAGCGTTTTATAGGCACAAGATAGGGGAGTGGTGGAGTTCACATCCTCCCACTCCTGTCAGTGAACTCCAATAGCCCCTGTCCGAAGTGAGGGACTCCCTTGCTAGACTGCAGATATGCCTCTGAGTTAGGGCTCCTGTGAAAAAGGAGGGTGTGGGAGGGATGCTGCCCTCAGGTGGCAGGCAGCTGCTTTTGAGGGATTGCAGGGGGAGCGGACGGCCATGTGCTCCACCTTGGACCGCCGGCCCTCCCAGCTCTGAGAACCCCAGAGACTAGAAGGGACAAAGGGCAAAGTGGGGGAGGGGGAGAGGGGTGGGGAGACAATCAGGAGTGCTCCATTCTAGAGAAGGTATCAGTGGTATCAGTGGGTGGGGCAGCTTGGAAACATTCTCCAACCTCTGATTCTGGAGGACGTGTGAGTGCAGCTTGCACACTTGTCATAGTTAGGTAGATATGAAAACTTCTTAACCTCAGATCTAATTGTTCCTTCATCCCAAGTGCTGCTTCCGCCTTTCGCTTTTCTTCACCAGAGCCCAGACGAAGTCAACACAGATGTTTGGCTCTGCCCCAGGGCCTGTCCTCCTGCGACTAGAGGGACTAGAGGCTGTCAGCTGCCTGTGGTCCAGGAGGAGGACTGGGGGCAGGAGAAAGTCATTCACAGTGAAGCCAGGTAGAAGCAGTTGTGTTTTGTGTTCAACGTTTGTGGGAAGTGATTGGCTTAATGTGAAAAACTTTTTGGTTGTGTAGGATGGGGGTGACTTTTCCCACAGAGGGGAAGAAGTCTGGGTTCTTGGTTATGTGTTAGCTTCTTTTGTGGCCTTGGCTAAATTGCATCATTCATTCATTAAGGACTAGGTGTCCTTTCCAGCCCAGTGGGGGTGAGGGGCTGCCAAGATGGTCTCCCTCATGCACTCACTGCCTTAGGTATGGGGCGTCCTGTATCCTTGCCTTCTCTGTGGGGAGGGAGCCCCTTCCCTGCCTCATGCACAGGCTGCTGCTTCTCTTCAGAGAGGCCTGGTTTGAGGTTGTTTGAGTTGAATTTTCCCAGATAGCTCCATGGTCTGGGGCCCTCCAATCACTGTGTTACCTATCCTTTGGCGAGGTTTTGTGGAAACGGGGGCAGAACCACTGGAATGTGAAGAATGATTTTGTGGCCACCATTGGCAAGTGCTCCTGTTCCTCTGACTCACTTGCCGGCAATAGTGTTAGCCAAACACCGGCAATAGTGTCAGCCAAACACCGGTGTGTATTACTCTGGTGCCTGTGAATTACAGGAATGCTGCCCTTTCATTGTCTACAGCTTCCCTCTTTGTTCTTGCCTACAGTCAACCTGCCTTCCTGTCTTGCCCCACTCCGCATATCCTAACACTTACGACCCTCCTGGGATGCTCACTCAGTGTCTTTCTTGGCCAGTAGCTCCCTGCTCCTCCCACCCCTACCCCCACCCCGCCACCTGCTGGCCAGAGTGGGTATAACTGCTGCAGCTTCTTTCTCTAGGGTCCTGTCAACTTGGTTTTGGGACCTCCTCACAAAGTGTAGCCCAATGGTCTATACTTTGTAGGCATTTGTTATATGTTTGTGAGAACATGAATTGAAGGGCAGAACAGTAAATCTACATGTCAGCTGTGCTGCAGGATTCCCACGTCCCACTTGGTAGGGACTTGCCCAGGATGAAGGCTCTCCTAGCAGAGCACCTCAGCTGTGGGGTGACAGGAGACTCTCTCATGTCCCTGAAAATCTTGGCAGAGGTTAATGAGCTGGTCGATGGAGAGGGCTTCCTTGGGCCACAGTGAAAGGACTTGCTGTCTCTCCTAATAAGACCACCACCCTCTTACCAGGCAAGGAGTGATTCTCTCCTAATCTCTGACTTTTCTGACGTTTCAGAATTCCGATGTCATACTATGACCTGGGAAAAGTTGAGTCTCAAAGGTCCAGGTCTTTTATGCTAGTAGCAGCTGCGATGATGAAATAAGACATAGACCTTAGGAAAAATGGAAAAGTTAGCAGAAGAGAGCTGGATGCCTGTGTGTAAGAGCTTGTTGGAAGGTGGGAGAGCAGGTGCTGCGGGGTGTTAGCCAGGATTTGGGCGTGGCGGTCACTGAGCTCCATTTGCGTGATGACTTCCTGTGGCCAGGTGGTTAGGCTTGATATGGGAGAAGGAACGGAGGAGAGAGCCAGGCGAGAGGAGAAAGTGCTTAGGCCTCCGGCAGGTGGGACAGGACCTCTGGAGACCTCTGCTCTTTCCAGTGCACAGGGAGGGAAGGGGACGGGGTAGAGGAAGGAGGGATGCAGGGCTCGTGAGAGTCACCTCCTCTGGGACCCAGAGCAATGGTCAGGAATTATGTAGCCATCACTTTTTCTAGTCTCAATGGCCCAGATCCCAAAAGGAGGCTTTTCTGAGGCATTAGAGTTGAACATGCGATCAATAGACAGAGATCCTCCTTAGATCCCAGAGCCCACCTGGTAATTCTCCAAACCCACTGCTGCCACCTGCCCCCTGCCTCCTCCGAGCCTGCAGGGAGGGTTCTTCGCTGCAGTGCCTTACACTGCAGCCTCTCTCAGGCGTGAGAGTCCCTGGGCCCTTGCCGCCGGGTGGAGCTTCTAGGGTGTTGGTACTGGTGAGGGCGTGGGTGACATGACCGAGGACAGGGTGGGAGCAGAGCTATTCTGCCAGCATTCCTCTTCCTTACTGAGAAAAGGGCAGGTGCCTTACAGGCTGCTGGGTGCCTGCCTGCTTTGGGGGTGGGGGTGGGGGGTACAGGTTGCTCCTGCCATTGCCAACTTCAACCAGATGGTCCTAACCATGTTAGCCCTCAGGGCAGCATTTTGGGGAGCCTGCTGTTGATGGCAGGGGTTGAGGAGGGGGCAGTCAGTGGTCATGCCTGATGGAGCCCACCTCCTCTATCTCCTGCATATCTCACTCTGATTCTCACAGCCCAGAGAATGCTGGCTTCTCGGAGGAAAGGAAATAGGAGCCCGAATTGGGACAGAAGTTTCCCCATCCTGAAGGGCCCGGCCGCCCACCAGTAATCAAACCAACCCCAAATTATTTCACCCAGCAATATTCCCCTCAGTCAGCCCATCTCCGAGTCCTCCCAGGGCCATTTGGTGGAACCCTCCAGGTAGAGATTAAGTGAATCTAAGCCCTGACAGGGCAGCAAAGGGGGCCCAGAGCCCTTTACTCTGAGAAGGGGAGGGACAGTATAGCATGGGCTCTCAGTGCTGGGGGCCCATGACCCTTCTCAGGAGAGCAAATCGGATCCCAGCCCAGCTTCTCCCAACCTAAGTCAAGTTGCTGTCTGATCTGAAGGGGTGGGGGTGGGGCTGGGGTGGCTGGCCTACCAGTAATTGCCATTCCTGATAATGGTCACTTTTCATGCTTGCTAGCAGAGCTGTCCCATCACTTTAAGTCAAGGTTGGCAGAGCAGTGACATTCTGGCCCCAGTGGAGAGTCTATTCCTTGTGGAGTTCTCCTTAATAAAGGCCAATGAGCTAAGGAGGCAGCGTTCAGTGTGCCTGCTGGAGCAGGGGAAAGGTTGGCACAGGGCTGCCGCAGCCAGGGGGCCGGGTGGGGGCCCTGATTAGCCTCGCCTAAGTGGGTCAGACCTTTGTGGCGCGGCCCCTCTGGGGGTTAAAGCTCTCCAGCCACATGTGAGGCATGTGTTTGGTGCTGCCGTGGCTGCATGTGTGTGCCTCTGAGGTCTGCGGTGCCAGGACAGGGGTCTGTACACAGTTGGGGTGTCCTAAGGAAGCTGTGGGGGGCCTTCTGTCTGGGAATGGGAGCGGTGATTGGACTAAGGGGGCATGGCAGGTAGAGGCTTGGCCTCTCCCAACAGGAGATCCAGGCTAAGCTTGGCAGCAGGAGGCATTCAGGGGCCTCCCAAAGTGCTTAGGTGTAATGTGAGTCATTGCCCCCCCCCCCCCCCCAATAGCTGCTACAAGTAGATGTTCTGGTGGGTCGGGCATGGCTCCGCCTGGGGGGGGATGGGCACAAGGAAAGTCCTGGCTAATGCTCTGAGCCCGTGGAGCATGGCTATGAGGGAATGCTGGCCCTCTGTTCACTTCCTTTCCAAAGCATTAAAAATTAAACTCCTTTGTCTTAATATCTATTTTTAAATCATGTCAGAGCCAGCATTGGTGTCAATCAGGAGTGGGTGGGGAGGAAGAGGGTAGAGAATAGAAAGGCCCAGCAGAAACAGGGTGAGTGCCGTCACTGCCTTGAGGAAAGTGACACGGGTCTGTCCTCCATGCCACTGGGCGGCGAGGAGCACAGAAAACACCATCCACCTCCTCTGGGATGGTGGGCTGGGAGGATTCTACAGGGGGGTGGGGAGGGAGGGCTCCCCTTGGGCTGGGGCTCGCCCTCCCCCTGTCCTACCTCCATGCGCCTGTCTGCCCGTGGCAGCCAGTTCTGGGGCATACTGGGCTGCTGGGGACCCAGTTGAGTCGGTTCACTCATGCCACAAATATTTACTGAATGCCCGCTGAGGGCACTGGAGGCTCCAGTTGGTGAGGACGGGCTGACTGGGCTCACACAGAGCAGATCAGCTTTCTTGGGCCAGGAAGTCGTGGAATTGAGAGGTCATCTGG